CACCTATTCAGAGGGCCTGATCCAGCTGGGGGCCCCTCAGCCTTGGGCCAATACCTCATGTGTTTCCATTCATTTGGCTATTTTTTTTTCAGTAATTGAGTAAAACCAAAATTTATCATAAGCCACAGTTGTCCTAGGGACCTCCATGCTATATATATAGCTTCCATGGTTCTATGGGTTGTGGTCTGATTGTTCTTTATTTTATATCTAGAATCCACTTATGAGTGAGTACATTACTCTTTCTTGATGTGTGTCCAGCACTTGGGCCTTCTCCAAGATCATAAAATGGACAGTCCACCTCTCAAAGTAGGATGGGAATAACTTATGACAGGGAACACAGGCTTGGAAGATCTGTGTCCCTATACAACTACAAAATACGTAGATCTTACATAGATAAAATTAAAGTATAAGCCACATGCCTGTAATCTCAGCACTCAGAAGGCTGAGGCATGATGACTGAATGTTGTAATGTGAGCCTAGGCTACATAGCGAGTTCAAGGCCAGCCCAAGACGGTACAGCAAGACCCTCACTGAAAAGAACCTGGCTAGTGAGAGGCCTCCGTGGGTAAAGTGCATGCTGCAAAAGCCTGATGGCCAGAATTCAATCCCTGGAACCCACATAAAGGTGGAAGGAGAGACCCAAAGTCCTTTGACCTATATATACATACACACAAGATAATAATAATATTTTAAAAAATTTTGCTTTGTGGACAGGGTACCATCCTGTCTGGCCTGGGATTATCTATGAAGACCAGTCTGTCCTTGAACTCAGATCTACTGCCTCTACCTTCTGAGAGATGGTTTAAAGGTGCGAGCCACCCCACCCAGCTGGCACCCACCTCCCTTACCCCCACCCACTCCCTGCCTGCCCTTTTTTTGAGGTCTCACTATGTAGCTCTGGCTGGCCTGGGATTATGTATGTAGACCAAGCTGGCCTCGACTTTCCAGAGATTTGCCTGCCTCTGCCTCCTAAGTGCTGGGGTTAAAGGTCCAAGACAGTGAGTCCCTGGGCTCCGGGGAAGCAATGCAGTGGAGAGCATTGGGGTAAACAGCAGCGTACTGTATACTGGAACCAAAACCCCAATTTCTGCAGGACAAAGAGCAGAGGTCTGAACCCAGCCCTGCCCTGGACCCAGGTGTGGCTTCTGATTGGTCAGGAAGGCACCCTATGGTAATGCTACTCACCCGGGCCCCACAATGGGCTGCAATCTCCTCGAAGGGCGCCTTCTGGAATTTCTCCACCACCTGTCGCCGCCGCTCACGCTCCTGTTCCTCAACTGCCACACTGTCCACTGTGACACAGAGAACTGAGTTAGTGTTCAGGGATGAGTTAGGGGAAGGTGCTTGAGGGAGACGGACAGGGTGGACTCGTCAGATGAAAAGGGGGCGGAGCACGGAAAGGGGGCGGAGACATGAAAAAGGGGCGGAGACCTCATGCGTGGCCTAGACCCAGAGTCTTTCTGCTCGAGGCCCCGCCCTCTTGAGAATCAGTTCAAAGGACCTGCATCTGGGCTTTAAAGACCCCCGTGGCTGTGCTCTTGCTGGAGCTCTCAAACGAGACCTCAGCTAGTTGTCTCTTTTAGTACTGCCGGGGTAGTTTGAAAAAGGACCCGAACATTGTAAAGGCAGCTAGACAGTGAGAATCAACGCAGCCCCACAGCACAAGTCTGAGGAAAGTTCACTTAAGGCTTTCCATACACCATTTGCTATCTAAAGTGAGTTAGCACCAAATAAAGGAAAATAGGGAGTGGGTTTGGAGGTCAAACAATGATCACTCTGAGAGGGTTAGGGAGGCAGGCAGTGCATACATTTATTTATTTTTATTTATTTATTTATTTATTTATTCATTCATTCATTTATTTATTTGTTTATTTATTTACTTATTTATTTTTGGTTTTTCGAGACAGGGTTTCTCTGTGTAGCTTTGGCGCTTTTCCCGGATCTCGCTCTGTAGCCCAGGCTGGCCTCGAACTCACAGAGATCCTCCTGCCTCTGCCTCCCAAGTGCTGGGATTAAAGGCGTGCGCCACCACCGCCGCCTGGCTATTTTTATTTTTTATCTTTTCGAGACAAGCTCTCACTAGATAAGCCCGGCTGTTCTGGAGCTTGCGTCACCACACCTACCTGAGTGCATCTATAATAACAAAATACTGAAGAGTCTTCACGGAAAGCCCGTTCAGCGGCTTAATTTGTCATCAGTTAGAAACAACCTCTTCATAGGAAGACTTCACGGGCCAATCATGCAGATAAAGAGGTGACTCGTGTTTAAAGTCTATTGCCCTTACTAAATGAACACCAATATGATTTCTTCTCGGTGCCTTTCCCTGGACATCTCGCCCTTTTGTGTCACCTTCACACACAAGGAGTTTTATTTGCACAGACCAGTCAGTCCCCTGGCTATAACCCTCGAGCGGTGGCTTTCAGGGGCAGTTGTCATTAGTAAGTAGGAAAGGGACTGCAGTGACAGGCAGTACCGACCCCCTCATCGGGGAGTGGGGACTTGCAGCTGCAGCTTTGGTGGCCGATGAGTTTACAAGAGACCCCCAGCCTCTGTCACCTGGTCCACGTCAGCCCCAGCCTCCTCTTTCATCAGAGTTCCCCGGGGCTGCTGTCTTACCAATGGCCTTCTTCAGCGTCTCATAGGTGATCTCCTCTGCAGGGACTCGCTGAAGGAGAAGAGACAGACATGTTCAGAAAGGTGTGGGAGAGAAGGCAGCCCCTTTGCTTCTTAGGGGGATGTCCCTAGGACACCCCCATTGCCAGAGGTGCCTCTGAGCGCATGTGGAGAAAAGCAAATGAGGCCAACTCCTCATGAGGGTCCCTCAGAATAGAATTCTATTCTTTTCCCTACCTAAGTCTGTCCTGTCAAGCTCCGTAGGAGGAAATCATCACGCGATTTAAAAAGAAATCCTCAGAGAAACAACTGGATGTAAGAAACACAATCTCCAATATAAACTCCAAGAACTTCATAACATTTTGAGGGCTCATGATATTAAATTATACCCCGAAGTGATGAATCTTAATACAGTAAGTCATAGGAGGTTAGAAATAATGGGACCTCTGCTAATGAGATTAGTCCTAAGACCGGAGGCAAAGGATCTCAACCTCTGCAGAACCTATGAAAGGAGGCAGGAAATAATAAAACCCAAAGAAGGGGACTCCGTGGATGCATGGCCTCAGGGAAGATGCTGAGGATAATGAAGTTTGGACCAGATTGCATGAACTTCAAACCAGACTATAAGCTTCTCGGTGTTAACATCCATGCTGAATCATGTGCCATTACAAGAAGTAAGGGAAAGATGTAGACAGGAGAGAAAGATTTAACGATATAAAGTTCCCAAAGGTACACAGTTATGCTAAGTGGTTCCTTTGAGGGAGAGGAGAGCAGACAGGCCCCCGGTGATGATTGTGTTTGATCTCCTGATCTGAGGGTGAGGACATGGGTGCAATCACCTTGTGAATTCACAGACAGGACAGTGCTAGGCTTGTTTGCCATTTAGTAAATGTCTGTTTGACTGGAAAGGACAGATATGGGATAAAGACATTCAGCAAATATTGCATGGACATCAATAGCATACAGAACTCTCAGTGGGTCAAGAGAAGCTGCCAATTTGTTAATAGAAGAATTACATGCAAGAGAGCCTGAGGATTCATCCTATGTACACCATCTATCATCCATCCATCATCCATCCATCCATCATCCATCCATCCGTCATCCATCCATTCATCATCCATCCAACATCCATCCATCCATCCATCATCCATCCAACATCCATCCATC